AGTTATGACTCATAACCAAAATTTTTAGAGCAAAATAAAAAAAAATTGACGGTTAATTTTGTTTTAATTGGATGTTTATTAAAAATATGTATGCACACTTTCAATTTTCCAATTAAAACTTGCGATTTTATTTAAATATTATCATAACCTTTTAAATCAGATTAAAGATTAGTAAATTTCCTAAAAAAAGGTCTATACATTTTTTATATCTTTTACTGTTTTGTTGTAATACACGTTTAAAGTTTTAATTTAAGGTTAAATGTATAGTATACATTTATTAAACAATAATTCTAAGGGTGCCACATTTTATTTAGGGCCGATTTATTCATTTTTGATTTATTTGACGAATAATTTCTTTGGATACTAGATATTGCCAAGACATGAAAGTTATCGGCCCGATAAACTTTACTAAAGATGAATAAACCGGTCCTTAGTTAAATTTCATAAATTTCTTCGTAACTTTTACTACAATTTTTCATTTTTGTTTATAAAAAACACTTTAAAAACTAAACAAAAATTATAGAATATGTATTCTGAAAATGACGTCAAATAAATTTTTAATAGATCTAAGTTTCATTGCAACCTTTAAGGATATATTAATTAAGGGAACATAAATGTATACGTCAAAAGTTAGATTAAAAGTTTGAACGTTTATTGCAACAAAACAGTAAAATATATAAAAAAAAAAATTAAAAACCTTTTTTTAGTTATGCAAATATTAAATATTTAAATTAAATCGCTAGTTTTAATTGGATAATTGAAAGAGTGCATAATATTTTTAATAAACAGCCAATTAAAACAATTCAAACCGTCAAATTTTTTTTATTTTGCTCTTAAAATTTTACTTATGACCTAATTAACAAGAATATAAAAAAAATTAGGTTTCACAGAAAGTCCAAAAATCACCTCTCAGAACAGCACCGTGTTTTGTTAATTTACCATTGTTGAATTTTTAGTAGGTATTTTCACTGAAGAAATATTCTTTCTAAATACCGTTTGTGCTTAAAAATTAACCAGATAAAAACACAAAAGATGGTGGTGCACCATGGGAACTCAAAATCTAGTGTGCTTATTTTTAAAATTCATAGAAATAAGGAAGTTATAAGGATTATTGGTTTTAAAAGATTTTAAGTTTATTTTAAATTATTTGAGAACCGCTGATTTTATTTCCAGTTTTTAATTGCCCTTTTAGTAGACTTGTAAATACGCAACTTTTGTCTTGTTTAACCGACCTTGTAGCTAAAAAACAAACCCATACATAAAAGGTTACTTGATGCACCCTGTATACATTTAATTTCATAATTTTCTTTATAAACACATGCGTGGTGGTCTGTAGTTTGTGATTCGACTGTAACAGCAATCACAGCAGAGAAGTACGCAATAATGAGTATACTCATATATATATAATGGTATATACTCATAAGGAATGGTTACTTTTACAACAGAGATAAATGTTTATTGGTGCTTTTGCGGTAATGTGCAGAATATTGCTCACTATAGTTCCTGCCATTGATGTGACAAAAGTAACTATTGCTGTTGTCAAAGTAATACCGTGAGGTTTTAGTGCATTACTGTTCTGGGCATTAATGGTTGTTTTCACTGTGTACCTACATACAAAGAATAATACCCCATTGTTATTTTTTTACATTATTTACACTATTCTTTAAATATAATTTATTTTTAGTTGGTATAATTATTTGTTTAACAAATTTTGTTATAAATAATATTAAATCAAATTTTGGACGATGACCTCGCCTCTTTAGGTTATGTTTTTATATAAACCAATATTGGTTTTTATTAAGTGTTTGTGTACCTATCTAGATGTTAGATAATAGTTATTATCATAGGAAAAAAAGTATACATATTTACAGATAAATATGCATGATGTACGAAAGTCAATTGCCTTGTGATTGTTTAAAATAAAAGAAACTTAATATTTTTTACAAAAAAATACAAGCAAACCTTCAAAATTTAGTATTTAGTACCTTATAACTTATAACTAGTTAGGTAAAATAATAAATATTTAAAAAAATATTAGATTTATGCGTTCAAAATGCTTTTCCAAGAATATCAATTGTGTAAAGGCACGTGTTATTATATACTTAATATTTATTGCCATTTTGTTTTTTAAAAAATGTAATCAATATTTTATTTTATCTACATATATAGATATTTGTACCAAGGCCAAAAGGTGCCTTTTTACGAGTCTGATTTTAATGAAAGAAGACGACGACAAAATAACACTTTTTCGGCCGCTTTCATTGATAACACCGTAGAGAGGTGAAAATATCACAGCTAAACGCTCGGACACGTAAACTTAATTGTTGGTCTTAGATTACAAATCCGTGCTTGGTTTTAAGATAATAGCTGTTCAGGTCATAATTCAAAGATATTGGAAACACCCTTTATAAATATAAACACCCTGAATAAATTTAAATAAAAATCAATTTGGCTGGACCCACACAAGTCTTGCAAAATTTGAAGTAAATTGATCAAAAGGAACACGTGTCCCTAAAGGTTTTTCTTAGACTATTTCCCTCGTCTTAATTTGCACCAATCACAAACGCGCAATTTTGAATTACAAATGGTTTCTAGGTGAAAAAACTGTGTGACAGCACCTGTCAGCAGTTTTTTCGAGTTTACCCGCGGCAAAACTTGACAGCTATTGTCACCAAAAATTGCAATTTATATTTTAATTGTTAACTGTTACTCATGAAATAGTCTTGTCAAATACCATTCGTGCATCTAATTTTTCATGTGAAAAAAATCGAAAAAACAATGCTAAGTAATATTTTTTAACAAAAAGCATTCGTGCAGGTGCAAAAATCCTCCTGTTCGACTCGGATTTTTGTTTCCACCAGCACTCATGCTTCTTGTTAAAATATTACTTAGCAACGTGTTTTTTCGATTTTTTTCGGAAAAAATAGATGCCCTTATGATATTACTTATATTACGATAATTTATAAATTTTCCATAGGAAATTCAAAATGTTTTTTTGTTTATTTTTTTTATTGAGCATAATTGAGGATATTATATTTAACAAAATAAAAAGCATGGGAATGTTGGCACAAGAGGTGAAATATATTATTTTAAAAAGTATACAGTGTGTCTCCGGATCGGATTGCCAATAGAAAAAAACTTTTTAGACCTGATACCTGTGTATAATAATAGTTTTGAACTGCGTACACATATACACAGAAAAAAATATCGTACCTGATATTAATGTCCTACGATCATTAAGTGCAAAATCATTACGATAATGTCCTTTTCATAGTATTAATGCAATCAAGTAATTATGATAATGCTTAAAAAATATGAGTTAATGTAATATTGGATTGTCACAATGTCTGCCTGGTCATTATCCTAGTGCAAGAATTTTATTATTTTTTAGCCAAAAAACATTAAGACAATGATATTTTACATTAATACGATGATTATTTAGATTAAATCAATAACCTAGAGTACATTAGTTAATCATTGCTCAGTGATAAAATTAATGTCAAGGCTTAATAGAGTAATACTCTAAATGGTATAATTTAATAATCTAAAATTATTACATTAATGCCTATATATACATCAACTTATGTACCCTTAGCAAAATATAATGCCCTAACATATTAAATAATACAACAAATCATAACTGTATCGCCAAATACGTTGAGCCAATGTCTAAATACATTAATATTAGGCCCTGTTGTTTCCCACCACCTAAAAGTGCAAGTAAGAAAACAATTTAACAACAGTTTAGTATTCCTGTTAATCCTGTTGCGACGTGCTTGCCCGCCCATCCCGATTGTTGTGCGTTTAGGTTTATTATTATATGAGATATAAATTAGAATGTAAGTAAGACAATGTTAAAAAGTTAAGGTTTATTTATGTTTCATAATTTTTTTCTAATAAATATAAGGATTTTAAATTACCAAGGGTTTTTATTATTTTTTTATATTAATCTTTAGTTTCATAATATTTACAAAAAGGACTAGAAATATGTAAAGTTCCAGTTCCAGTTTTGCGGTGGCCCGGACATAAACCCTGTAGAAAATGTTTGGAAATTCTGTAAAGGGAACTGGCTAAAGAGAACATCACCACATAAGTAATATTAATAGTAATAATTATTAATAATTTTTTTACATATTTCTAGCTCTTTCTGTTAACTGATCAACAAAAAAATTGATTTAATGTTAAAACTTAAGGTAAGTGTAATAATTTATATATATATATACATATACATATACATATACAGGGTATCTCAAAAGTTAAGGACAGCATAAAAGGGGTGGATAGAGGATGGGATTCTAAGTCGAATGGTCTTTGCCGTTTTTCAATCGACTTAAAATTCCATCCTCTATCCATCCCTTTTCTGCTGTCCTTGACTTTTGAGATACCCCGTATATATATATATATATATATATATATATATCGATATTTTTCCATCCCTTATTTCAGGCCTACTATTAATGCTTCTTTGCATTATGATAATGCTAACAGATCATTAATTAATGTATATTAGGTGATTGGGATAATGTTCTTTAATTGTTAATTGATAAAAATTTATTAATTGGTTGATGTTTACTGGGCATAGAATTAATGTACTAGGACATTAATCCATGTCAATGGTCATTAATATCAGTACTTTTATTTGAGATCTTCCTGATTAAAATCAATGTCCGCCAAGCATTAATATTACGTCCTTGTACATTGAGTAATACTTTAAAAGCATTGTGGTAATGATTTTGAGCATCGGAGCAAAATTAATGTAAAAAATCATTGCCTTAATGTTTTTTTTTATTAATATTACGTACGTTTTTCGTTGTGTGTAGAGTCTTTCTAAATAGGCTTTTGAGAGTTATAACATTGAGTAATGGTTATAATATGAAAATTGTTATACGCTTGAAAAACATTTTTTTATGTTTTATAAAATATGCTAAAATTGGTTACAGGTGACAAAATAATAAATGATTTGATTAAAATGTTTCTAAAAACTAACAATTTAAACATACCTTCTATCACGATTTCTTAATAGGGCTTCCACAGCACTGGTGATTATATATTGAACACCGGCGCTTTGTATTTCAGTTTTTGCTAAAAAAAAATATGTCTTAGGGGCTTTTATCGAAAGTAATTAACCAACCAGAGCACAGCGTTCTTCCACGCCCACTAGATTGCATCAGAGAGTGTGGTGCTCCGATTGGTCAATCACTTATTTGATGTATCAAGTTATAGGTAGAAAATTAAAATAAGTTTATGAGTAAAAAAATAAAATGATTTTTACCTCCGTAAAAATATTGGTCAACAGTTTTCAACCACCCAACATCATCGTGGGAATGTGGAACTAAATGAATATTTATTTTTTTGTCATCTATTGGATGGCATGACTAAAAAAAAAGTGTTTATTTTGCAATAAAATTTTGGTTATTTTTCAAGGGATTTATTTAACCCGGCAGGTGGGGTCTGTTAGGAATTTTGTTTTGTCATAATTACATGGCAAAATAAAATTCCCTATATATAGATATAACTTTTTTAATTTACTTTTTTAAATGTATCCTGTACAGTACCTTTATGAAAATAAATAATTGGTTTAAACGATTTGGATGAAATTTTGTATTTGAATAATAATGAGGCGCTAATTTTATATCCTTTTTTTCAAAAACAAAATGGGAACAAAATGGGAAATCCAACATGAAGAAAATAAAAAAGTAACCATCATGATGCGCAGAACAATAATTCACAATGGATTATTATTAGTTTGGCGGTACCAGTTACAGAACTGTGTTTTCAATTATACAGTGTAATAAATGTGTAATTTGAATTAAATAAATAATAAAAATAAAAAATAAAAATATATAAGACTTTTTTTTCACACTATGTACTATGACAAGTTTATAAATAAATAAATAATTTGTATAATTTAATTATTCGTTTGCTTTGCATTTTCCTTCACATTGCAATCAAAATTTTAATCAAGGTTGAAAACTAATTCAATTGATTATATCCATATTTTGCACGACTGAGGGCCGGTTTATCAATCTCTAGTTAAGTTCCAGTTAGTCTATCTGACGGTTAAATTTCATATCGATCGTTGCGAGAACAATGGTATCCATGGAAATTATCTACCAGATAACTAACTGCAACTTTAACTGGACATTGATAAACCGGCCCTGAGGGACGGTTTATCAATCTCTGGTTTAGTTGCAATTAGTCTATCTGTCATGACAGTCTATCTGTCATGCAGTTAAATTCCATATCGATCGTTGTGAGAACAATGGTATCCATGGAGATTATCTGCCAGATAACTAACTTCAACTTTAACCGGACATTGATAAACCGGCCCTGAGGGTCGGTTTATCAATCTCTACTTAAGTTCCAGTTAGTCTATCTAACAGTTAAATTTCATATCGATCGTTGTGAGAACAATGGTATCCATAAAAATTATTTAACAGATAACTAACTGCAACTTTAACTTGACATTGATAAACCGGCCCTAGGGCCAGCTGAAACTAATTTAATCGTCAATCGTTAGTTAAACTAATTACGTTAGTTTTAGTTTTAAATCGTCAATCAAACTAAATTTTTGGGAACACTACTACCTACACTATACAATATATTGTCTGTGATCAATTGTTACTGCAGTTTTTGACAGACACCACCCAATAAAAAGCGTATCTCTGAGGGTTTTTATGTTATATTTTTAAGCAATAATTTTGTTATTTTTTTTGCTGTACAATGTTTAATTTTTTTTTTAATTTCTCATTATTTTAAAGGGTCACAATTTTTTAAAACCATGCTGTAATATTACACACCTAGGTGTGTAATATTAGCTAATATTGGTACATATGAAAATAATCAATAAATTTGGAAAATACTTTTTTAGTTAAAAATTTGTAATAATAAGAAAAAAAATGTTTATAATATATAATTCGCCAAACACGATTTACTATTTTTTAATTAAATAATGTTTTGACATCAAATGTAATGTAGAGTGCAATGGTATATTTTATTTTACTTACTTCGTATCCACATGATGGTTCCTGAGTTAGGGGTGCAGGTTTGGCCATAACACCAGCCAAACCGACCACTAAAACTATACAAAATTTAAACATGAGCATCTTCCCCAATGGGCTTACACAAAACACTAACATAAAAATAACTTTTCCACACATTTTATACAAAACAATGCATTTTACAAAGATAAAGTTTTAAAAGTGCTTAATCAAAAATTGGTTGTTTATGTATTGATTAATACTTTTCTACTCTTTAAATTTTAAATAATCTGTTGCTTTCTAGCATATAGCGTAATTAGGTAAATAATATAATAATATTAAGGTGAAACAAAAATCATATGTAATGATTTAAAATCGCAAATGTATATTTTATAGATATTGTTTATTATTTTTGTATTTATTTTATTTTATTAATGCTCTTCAGAATTTTTTATCAAAAATTGTCGATAATAACCAATGTGTGCATTATTCAATAAATAAATAAATAAAGTTCAAAAAACTTTGGATTCTATTAACAAATGTTAAAACATTTTTACAGTTACAGTTTTAATTATATAGTATGTCCGCTTATAAGCTGTCTACATATGGGAAATTTAAATCCATTTGCCTTCTATCAAAAATTCATTCTAAAATTTAAGTTTTTATTATTATGTTAATATATATATATATATATAAATATATATATATATAATATATTATATATATATATATATATATATAAATAATATTAATTACTTATTATTACTTAAATTATAATTTATTTATTATTAATAAATTATACTGGTCGACAGAAATTTTGCCTCATGGCCAACAACTAATGTTGTTGTTGAATGTGTATATTTTTTTTAGTTTAGTTTAAATAGAAATTTTAATGTTTTCTTAAAAAAAAGGTTTTTTCGCAATATCTTGAAAACAAGATCTAATTAAGCAAAATAATGGTTATAACCATTATATATAAGCAAAACTTAAAAAAAAAATAGCTTTTTTGGTAAATTAATAATAACATTTTTTTCCCTATAAAGCTAACTTTTATTCATTCATTTCCATGGCATTATTTCTTCTTGCATCATATTCACACATTTTTTTAATATAACTGACATTATATTATTATATTAACCTAAATGAGCATTAAATTCTCTAGAAAGAAATCTTTTCAGGTATACGTAGGTTTCTATTGCTAATATTTTTAGTAAAAGATTATGACAAACTAAACGTGGATTTTAAGTTATCGGCCATTTCAAGCGCGCGAAACGCACGAATCACAAAACTGTTTTTATAAAAAAAATTGTAGATTATTTATTATATAATATTTTGGCATCAAAATTGTCAAAAATATTCTTCTTTTGTTAGGTTATACATTAAATAAAAAAAAACTCAAGAAATATTTTATGAAAGTAGATATAATTTTAATAATTGAAAGGTGTGGACGGGACAAAAAAAAGATTTATCTTGTCCCGTCCATCCCTGTCAATTATTGAAATTATCTCTACTTTTATAAAATATTTCTTGCGATTTTTTTTATTTAATGTATACCCTAATAATAGAAGAATATATTTGACAATTTTGATGCAAAAATAATATATAATAAATTAGCTACAATTTTTTTTATAAAGACAGTTTTGTGATTTGTCCCGTCTATCCGCTTGAAATGGCCGTTATGCATAACTTTTGAAACTATTTATGTATGTAAAGGTATTTGTTTGTTTGCAAAGTAACTAATAAAGATACGCATTAAATATAAATTTATTTATATTACATTTTAAAAATATTATAGATTCAATGCTGCATTGACAATGCAGTAATGCATTTTAAATTTTGGCTATATATAGGATTTATGAAATATAAGATAGTGTTAGAGGTTATATTTTAAAATTGATTATCTTATCACATTTGCAATTTTCATATACTTACAAAAAAGTTTACACTTGTAAAAAGTTTGCTGACCATATATTAAACTGTGAAGAGAAGAACTAAATATGTAATAGTTATTTATGTCATTAGGTGAAGAAGTAAGGCTATTTGTGCCGCGTAGCGGAGGCCTACAATTGAGCGAAGCACAAAAAGGCACTTCTTGGCCGAATGGCATACAACATTTTATCTTCAAAGCACTTTATATAGGTCAATTTAATTCAACATTAAAGCGGCCTAACCTCACTTTTTTAGAATCTCATTTATTTATTAGCTAAAGATTATTTATTAGCTAAGATTACATTAAATGTAATGCTGTCACAGCATTGCTGTGAATTGCTTTTAGAAGCAGTAATAGTTTGACAATACGTACATGATTTAAGTAGAAATGGATTTTTGCTATTACATTGAATTCAATTGTTTAATAAATAGGTAGGTATCTAAATTCAATTTGTTTGGATTTTTATTTAAAAAATAGGTAGTTTGGAAAGTTTTAGCTGTGTTTAACATTTAATTTCATTGAAAACTTAAAGCAAATTAAAACTTAAAGATAATTTAATTCGTTGAAAAAGAATTCTTGGTTGCCTAACCTCACTTTTTGTTTTATTATTGATATTTAATTTTACAATAATTTAATGAAAAATATTAAACATTATCAGTAAAACAAACAAATTAGTGCTTATTATAAATAAATTAAACCAGTTTAGTACGTTAATTTATTAGAAAAGGATTAATTTGTCAAAACAATACCACTAGCGAGAAAAAATCGAACTAATTACTTGCCTCATAAATTTTTTATCGGCCTAGGCCATAACAAGGTATTTCTTTATTGAATGTTGACAAGAATAAAGTTTAAATTATAGACCGCGTGGAGATAAAAACTTTTATTCAACACCCGCTACGTAATTTCGTGGCCCTGCGAAAAGTGGTCCAAATGATGAATTACCTGATTATTTAAAAATTAAAGTAAAAATTGGAAAAAACTTAGGTTAAACTGTTAAACAGTTGTCAGCTGTCAAATAAAATATCAAATATAATTGGCTTTAAATTCCCTGCGGTAGTTGAATAAAATGTGTGCGACTATGGGTCAAAAATAGTTACTCCAGTTCTGTTCTCCTACAAGCCGCACAATATAATATTCTTACCTTAAAACAATAAGAATAAATATAAAATAAAATTCCAAAATCCAGTAGGCGAAAAAAATTACAAATTGGATGTATAGGTTTATATGTGATACTTAGGTACCATTTTTGAAAATTACCAGAAATAAGAAATTCTAACGATTTTTTGTTTTTATAGGTTTTCAGTTCTTTTGAACTAGGTATTTGAGAACCGCTGATTTTATTTTTAATTTTCAAATCCCATTTTAATGAACTTGTAATTACGCAACCGACCTTGAAGCTCTTTAAATAAAAAAGATATCCTTAGATAGAAGAATATACAGCTTGTTCAGACTAAAACCGAATATATCTATATATATATATATATGGGGCGTGGCCTCGCCTCCCTCCAAGGCGCGTCACAGTAGCTTGTGTGATAAACGACATGACGAAAGGTCGAGCAGGTAATGACTTAAAAAATTAAATGATAATAATGCAAAAAATCTCATTAGCGATGCAGCCTATTTGCTTAGCTACTGTGTCGCGCGTTGGAGGGAGGCGAGGCCGCGCCCCATATATATATAGATATATTCGGTTTTATTCTGAATGGGCTGTATATAATAAAGTACCTACAAAGGGTGCACAAGTATACTTGTATATGGGTACTAGTAGATTGTATTTAAAAATATGTGCTGGACTATTAAAAAGTAATTTATGTGATTATGCTTGGAAGTAAGTATTTTGGTTCTGAGCTAAAACTAAGCAAAGAACAAAAAGACACTTCTCAGCCACATGGCATTTAACATTTTATTTTTAAGGCTCAATTTTATACTAAAATTGTTTGTTAAACAATACATAAATCGTATAATTATTAAAAGTAGAAAGTAAGGTTACGTAGATCTGCCATTTTTTATTGGAACGGTTTTTTACAGCCTAGGAGGTAAAATAATTTGCCCGATTGGTCTAAATTATTATTACAGCTTATATATATGAGGCATTCCATGTCAACTCGGCCACCCCCTCCTGTGCAAAATTGACTAAAGTTTTTCGAAACGAGCAACTGATAAATTTTTAGCTTAACTTTCAAATGCCGAGTGGTATTTTGTAAAATTTCAAAATGGCGGTGTCAATATAGTGACTGCAAGCAATATACATCACTTTAAAAAAACCGTGTTAGGTAGTTTACATTAACTAACAGCGTTATAAAATTTAACATTGAATTTGATTATATGCACTAATCTATTATCAGTGATTCTATGTTTTTTTACCGCTGATTACACAATGGTTCGCCCCTAACCCCAAAAAAAACTTAAAAAGCAGTTTTGTGAAATTTACAGCCCCTAAATGCATTTTTGATACATATTTTTGCATTTGTTTTTTGTATTTCTCATTGCCTAATATAAATATGGCCTTACCTCAGAGTCGACATAAAACTGTATGTTCCTAACCTAAAAGAACTCTCAAAAAATGTATTTTTACCTTCTTTATAGCTGTTTAAAGCATTTTAAAGATTGGCATGAGGTTAAATTTTTATACTTTTTATTGCCAAGTACGTAAATAATCCAACTATAAATTGCAGACTAAGCAGTTTACCCCTAAGTTAGGGGCCCTAACCTTAAAAATATTTTCTAAAAATTATTTTTCTGCAGATACGCATGCTGAAGAAAATTGAGATATGGGATGTACTTATAGATTTATTTTCACACTTTTTAACGCTAAATACGATTATAATCTTTCTTTGACGGCAATTCTTCGTTAACTTAAAAAACTTTGCATAAATCGTATGTTAAAAATATTTTTTATATAGTAGTTATTACATAAGATTATGCTAAAATTGTAATAATCTACTATACATCTACCGATAAATTCGTACCAAAAATAATATTCTTTTGTGGTATTACCACACTGAAAAAAATAAGCTGTTGAAACAACAAAAAAAATATTAATTCAACTCTTTATGCACTTTAAATACAAGCAATGGTTTTTGCACGTTTACTTAACCATCTAAAAATGTCAAATTGTATTGTTTAATTGAACAACAAATAACAGTCAAATGAACAAAATTAGGATATTTGTTCCAATCTGCTAATTTTGTTAATTTAAC